GTGCAGGACGTGTGGCTCACAGCTTCAACTTTTTGTCTCTGTTCTTGGCCATCTCCTGGGCGGACACTCACTGTGACTTGGTCACCTGTGTTGCTGCAGTTTCCTCAGTAAGTGTTCAAACCTTCCCAGGGCTGGTTTGGCTTTTGGATGTGCGTCTGTAGTTGGGAAAGGGAATTGGAAAAGGTGACAGCCGATTGCTCCACCATCCTGGTCAAGAATCATGATTGCTTTTTCTTATAAATAATTCAAGCAGATAGAAAACTTTCAGTGTTTCTGTGTTTATATTGAAGTAAATGCAAATATAAACAATCATTTTAGATTGTGCAATTCAGAAACATGTGTACCTTCAGAGGTTACATAATAACAATTTCTAATTCAAAACTCCCATAGGAAGTCTCACACCCATGAAAGCATTTCTCCCCATTTCCACTCCTTCCATGATTACTACCATAGCTTATACCCAAATAAAGGAAACAGGAACTCAAGAAATTACATATCCAAACACGTTAATAATAGCTAAAGGTGGAAGCAATCAAAGATAATATAATCTTTAAGCTTTGTATTTTATACTTGTAGAAAAAGCATAGTGAAAATATTATGCATTTGCTCAATTTTTTAAAGTAGATTACCAAACAAGTCTAGAGCCTGCTAATACTAACCGATAGAATAAAAAAAGGGGAGAGCGATCCAACATGGGAAGCGAGATACACAGCAGACTCATAGAATGGCAGATGTCCTAAAGGCCTCAGAATCAGCCCTAAAGGCATTTGGATCCGGCTGAAAAGCCCATGAGAGAATTTCAGGCATGGAAAGCCAAGACACTCTGGCAAAAAAAAAAAAAAACCCTAAATGAAAGATCTCTGTGAGTGAGATCCCAGTGGAAAGAACAGGTCTTCAAAGAAGGTACCTTTCTCTGAGGGGAGGAGAGAACTTCCACTTTGACTATGACCTTGTCTAAATAAGATAAGAGTTGGTGAACTCAAAAGGCTTCCATAGCCTTGGAAACTCATGACTGGAGCATAGGGAGATTACTGATGCCATAAACCGGAGTGTCGATTTGTAAAGTCAACAACAGGAGTCACTGCGTACTTACTCCTCATGTAGGATCTCTGTCCTTAATGTGCTGTACATTGTGATTTAATGCTATAACTAGTACTCAAACAGTATTTTTCACTTTGTGTTTCTATGTGGGCGCAAACTGTTGAAATCTTTACTTAATGTATGCTAAACTGATCTTCTGTATATAAAGAGAATAGAAAATGAATCTTGATGTGAATGGAAGGGGAGAGAGAGCGGCAAAGGGGAGGGTTGCAGGTGGGAGGGAAGTCATTGCAGGGGCGGAAGCCAATGTAATCCATAAGGTGTACTTTGGAAATCTATATTCATTAAATAAAAGTTAAAAAAAATAAAAACAAAAAAATAAAGATTACCAAAGATAATCCACTCTCTGAGACCAATAACTTTTTCAAATTTCAGAGACAAAAAAAAAGCAATGACAATGCAGTTCTTTTGTCAGTCCAGTAAAATTATTAGCGAAGTAACACCTGAACCACATGTGGGAAGCAGAATCTTTAGCAAGATCCCCCATTTCTTGATGTAGGTTCTTATTGCTTTAACTATCCTCTTCACATTGCTTTTGCTGTATCCCATAAGTTTTGATATGTTGTGTTGTCATCTTCATTTGTTTCGAGGAATTTTTAAATTTCTCTTTTGATTTCTTCTATGAAGTCAAACAGAGCATGTTGTTCAGTCTCCATGTGTTTATATATTTTCTAGAGGTTCTACTGTTGTTAATTTCCAGCTTCATTCTTCATAACTCTGAAAACAGATCTACCCTTTGACCCAGCCATCTTGCTCCTGGAAATTTACCCAAACGAAATGAAATCAGTGTATGAAAGAGTTAGCTGTACCACCACATTTATAGCAGCTCAATTCAGAATAGCTAAGATATAGAATCAACCCAGCTGTGCATCAACTGATGATTGGATGAAGAAAATGTGGCCTGTGTATACAAAATGGAACACCATTCAAGCATAAGAAAGAATTTATTTTGCAACAAAAATGGAAAGTAGAGATAATTTTTCTTGGTAAAATAAACCAGTCCCCAATAGAGAAACATCATATGTTTTCTCTGAAATGTGTTAGTTAATATATAAAATAAAAAATGTATAAGAATGAAACTGACATATGATTTAGCTATTGTGTATAGCCCTTGTCTATACTCCTGTGGAAGAGTGGCTTTTCTACTTCATACTTGTTGGCTAATTGGTCCTCCTCTGGCCTCCCCATAGGCAGCTTTCTGACCAGCTCATTGTAGGTATCTCTCCAAGGGGTTTCCCACACTCACACATGAATGTATATTTACTCCCTCACTTTTAAACAAATCCTTCTCTCATTTGTGTGTCTTATTTATGCCTCTACTTTGCATTCTCATCTCTGTGGGGGCAAGCACTTGGAATAAAAATGAAGACACTGCTCAGTGTAGGAGCTGCTTCCTCGGGGTCGTGCAGAAGTCCCCAGGAGGCTGAGCTTCAGACAAACCTAGGGGACAGTTCCATCGTAAGAAAGCGCTCATGTGCAGTGCTGGACAACCACATCTGCTGATTCTAAGGCAGCAAAATGAAGGATTCTGATGGGCTTCATGGTCGGATTAGGCTCTCATAGACTGAGTGCAAGCATTGCAGGGTAAGGGGCAGCACACGGGAGCACATCAAGGCAGAGCACCTCAGCACCAAACCACCAGTGGGTTCAGACCCAGGTGTACGGGCATTTAGTCTGCCAAAGGCATAAGGTCTTCTCAGCCCCAGAAAAGGATAACACAAGGGGCTGTCTCCACTTGTTCTTGAATGTGGCATAGAGCTACCTACAGGAGGCCATTTCTTCAAGAGCCCAGGCTGCTTCTTCATCCCAGGGATTTGTAGAGAATGCCAGGGACTCACTCTGGTTGGGCAGCTGAGATGCCATGATGCAGCTGTGTTCCTGGCCTGTAGGGTGGAGCCCTCTCATGAGAATGGCCATGAACTCACCCAGCTGCTGGAGGAAGACCAAGGCCTAGCCCTGCCTTGTCAAATGTCTTCTTGCTCACCTTTGATGGAAGTAAGCCCTCCACCCCCCTTTCCAAGAGAAAAGGTCTCCTTAGATCCATTCAAAATATAAAATAAAATCACAATCTACTCTGTGCAATAGAGTCTACACTTCCCCAGGCTTACGGAGCTGCCCTTTCTCTGGAATAAACAACTGAACCTGCCAGACTATTCCAGAAGAAGTCTACTTCTGAGAAGGTGGCTCAGGCCTCCTGCCCCTGTAGATTTCATATCAGAAGGACATGACCTATAGTGTCAGATGGACAGCTTTGTAGTTCAGGCCTCAGTTGGTGCAGAAGCCTCCATGGAGAGGACCCGGATCCTGTCCCCACCAGCCAGAACCATGATAGTGTAGTTGCAATGATGACAAACCAACCCACCATTTACAGGAGGTCGCTTGAGTCAGGAAGACCAAAGGAGCAAGGGCTTATGATTGGGGAGTTAAAGGAACATGTGTTTCCTTGGTTTGTAGGCATCAAAGACAGAAAGCAGAGGAATGGGTGACATGGGAAAAAAGAAGTTCTATCATTCCTGGCTCTTAAAGACTTGATCCTGGGACGTCATGGTCAGCCAGCCCAGAACGTGCAACCGGCAGAGTGCCTGGGGGTTAAGGGTGGGTCCAGGACTAAATCACAGGATTAATGTTGAGAGAGAACATAACCGGGAAGCAACAGCTGCTCTGAGTGCCCAGCAGAGGGTGCCAGTCAGTGCCCGTTCCTGCAAAATCCACCACAAGAACAAAGTCTTCATTATCAGGTCAGCTGGAGGGGTTTATGCCGGAGAAGGCAAACACCGAAGGAGACAGCAGTCCAGCAGTGAGGAATGTGTGCCAGCACACAGGGAGAAAGACAAGCTGCTTGCTCCCCCAGGACTCAGAGGGACAAAAGTGGCAGAGCCCGACAGCCACTAGAGGGAGGAGTGACTTGAAGAGCAAAGGGGACCTGTCTGAGTTTGGAGAACAAGAAAACAGATGGCTCTGGTGAGCTGGGACAGCATTCAGGACTACAGAAAGGTGAGCCTCCCACCTCTGCCAGGGAGTCCCTAAGTGAGGTTCCTGGGTGAGGATGGTGTCGTGTCTCAGTCTGGAGATTCCTGAGCTAAGCAGCACCCCCCTTCTGCATCAGAGACCACCGCAGTGGCTTCTCATTTACTTACTCCAATGGCCTCTCCCCACTGGGTGATTTTTAGAGCCAAGTCCACAGCTGTCCAAAGCCCCACCTGGGTGGTCCCGTACAATTCAACCTCTTTTACTCAATCTAGCCACTCTCCAAGAGCCAGCCCTGGGCAGGGACTGTGACATGGCCATCCTCGTCCCCAGGGGTCACTCACCAAGAATAGCATCCTAAACTCAGCTCTTGGCTTCCCTTTCTTAGATTCCCTCACTCCGGGTTGGCAGCATCTCGAGGTGGACATACTGTCCTCGTACTTAGAAGAAAACTAGGGCTCAAGTGAGCCGAATGCTACTGAGAGAGTCTGGATTTGAACCCCGATCTCCTCCCTCCCTCCCAGTTCAGGGCTCTTTCCACACTCACACTTCTTCCCTGGGCTTCTACAACTCCATGACACACACCTGACAAACAGCACTCTCATGCCTTCTCTTTTTATCGTCACCATCGTGGTGCAAGTCACTGTGGGTCCATGTCACTGCATCAGCACCTCTCTAAGAATGCACAGCAAGTGTTATATTTTTATTTTGTCAAATTTGTAACGGTCTCCTGAACTCTCGGTACTGTGTAAGTGCTTTTTAAAAATCTGTTACAAATGTAGAAAATGCAGAAATTATAAGAAACTAAGACAAGTCATATAATAAGAACCCTTTTTGTTATGTTGAAAATATACTAGTGGGGCTGGTGCTGTGGCACAGTAGGTTAATCCTCCTCCTGTGGCGCCGGCACCCCATATGGGCACTGGTTCAATACCTGGCTGCTCCACTTCCAATCCAGCTCTATGCTATGGCCTGGAAAAGCAGTGGAAAGTGACCCAAGTACTTGGGCCCCTGCACCCATGTGGGAGACCTGAAAGAAGCTCCTGGCTCCTGGTTTCGGATCAGCACAGCTCTGGCTGTTATGGCTATCTGGGGAGTGAATCAGTGGATAAAAGACCATTCTCTCTGTCTCTCCCTCTCATTTTCTATAACTCTACTTCTCAAATAAATAAATAAAATATTTTTAAAAAGAAAATATACTAGTGATCATTCTGAGTCATTGGTGGACATTTTCAAACCTTTGCTTGTTGGAGAGTCTCCAATAAACATTGAGACTTTCAATATCTTATTGAAGGATCATAATGCTATTAGAAGACATTGTAACTGGCCTGTAACTTCTATGTTCCTAAACCACTGTCAGCCACAATTCAACAAATTCTTGAAGTTCATACCCAAAATCAACGTGCTTCTGATGGATGATAATGAGAATGCTGAATGAAGAAGAATCAGAGCCAACACATCAAACTCAACCTTCAACTGCAATAGCACACAATTTGTGTTTTTATTCTGTCAAATGATACAGCCTAACATTCACATCTTGCTCCTACCATTCCTAATGGGTCGGGATAAAGAGAATGGACTTCCCAATACAATTTCCCAACGGTGTAGAACACAGGCTCAAGACTTGTTTTCATGCGAGACGGAGGATTTGTCTACCCAGTTTTATTCAGAAACAATGGAAGGCTAGTATTGCCTTCTTTCAGTGCTATGTGACTTCTTATAGCCAAATCATAGCAGTGGTCCCCACTCCAGACCAATGCAGTAGATCAGATCCTTGTGGTCTGAGAGCAAATTCAAGGAAGGGTGAGAAGACATGGGCATCTCTCATCAGGTAATGAAAGGTGGAGTTTCTACAGTCAAAGCAATGTGGTAAAGTCCAACAGGGTCAAGAGAAACCAACTGAGTTAAGATGGTAGCCATAGAAGGTTCCTTAGGGAAGAATAGTCTCATTAAAACATTTCCTCTAGGGGCCGGTGCCATGGCTCACTTGGTTAAACCTCCTCCTGCAGCGCAGGCATCCCATATGGGTGCTAGATTCTAGTCCTGGTTGGGGTGCTGGATTCTGTCCCGGCTGCTCCTCTTCTAGTCCAGCTCTCTGCTGTGGCCTGGGAGGGCAGTGGAGGATGGCCCAAGTGCTTGGGCCCCTGCACCCACATGGGAGACTGGGAGGAAGCACCTGGCTCCTGGCTTTGGATCAGCATAGCTCCGGCTATGGCGGCCATTTGGGGGATGAACCAATGGAAGGAAGACTTTCTCCCTTTCTCTCCTCCCCCTTCTCTAACTCTGTCAAATAAAATTAAAAAAAAGAACATTTCCACCAGTCCAAACATCCTGCCTCACTCAATCTTTGTAGCCCACACACCTAAATTCTAGGCGTCCTTTCAGGATTTACACCCTGAACGTTGTGCATACGTTTGCACATGACTGTGTGTCTAGAACACAAGGAACACGTTGCTTCTCTATCTGTTTGGCACTAGCATCATCTTGGGGTCTGACTACGGAACCCCACTTCTCAGAGGTCTGGGGGCTGTCTCCCAGTCCCAATCCTCACATCAGCTAGCCCCAGGACCCCAGAATTCTGAGCTTATCCATGCAGGCATTCTACTGGGGTGGAAAAGACAGGTTTTATTCACTCTCTAGTCCATAAATCTGCCCATCAGAACCCCTCACAGGAAGGTCAATACCCAATGAAATGATAATTTCCAAGGAAAACGCCTTCTAAAAGCAAAACTTAGTTTCTGAAGAATGGGAAAAGCTTCCTGAGAGCTGTTTTGACTTCATTGTTTCTCAGAGAATAGATGAGGGGGTTGAGGGTAGGACTCAGCATGGTATAGAGCACGCCAGCCACCTTGCTCTTCTCTGCACTGTAGCTGGAGACAGGGCTTATGTAGGCGTAGAAGACAGCGGCGTAATACATGCACACTACAGTGAGGTGGGAAGAGCAGGTGGAGAAAGCTTTCTTCTTCCCCTCCGAGGTCCGCATCTTCAGGATGCTGGCGATGATGGAGCCATAGGACATGACAGTCATCAGGAAGTTCAACATGCCATAAAAGGCGTCAGCCAGGACAACCATGACACTGTTCACATAGGTGGAGCTACAGGAGAGACGTAGCAGGGGAGGGACCTCGCAGAAGAAATGGGTGATGACATTGGGGCCACAGAAACTCAATCGCAGCATCAGTCCTGTGTGGATGGCCGTGTTGAAGGCACAGAGCACCCACACGCCCGTGGCCAGTACACCACAGCACGTCTTGCTCATCATGGTGTTGTAATGCAGGGGGTGGCAGATGGCTGCGTACCTGTCATAGGCCATGACCGTGAGGAGGAGCAGCTCTGAGGACGCAGACCACGTGAGGAAGTAGAGCTGAGCCATGCAGCCCCCGTAGGAGATGGAGCTCCTCTCTGACAACAGATCTGCCAGCGCCTTGGGCATGATGGAGGAAGTGCAGATCACGTCCATGGTGGCCAAGTTAAACAGGAAAAAGTACATGGGAGTGTGGAGGCCAGGGTTGAAGGTGATGGCCAAGATGATTAGGACATTGCCTGTGAGCGCCACAGTGTAGAGAGAGAGGAAACAGCTGAAAAAGAGCACCCGGTATTCGGGGTGCTCTGAGAAACCCTGCAGGATAAACTCGGTCACCAGCGTCTCATTACTCATAGTCTGCAGGCTGGGAGGGGGTTCTGTGTCTGTCAGGTGAATCTCCACACACAGCTTCACGTCATTCAGGGCTAGAGAGAGAGGGAGGAGAGGTATCCCAAGGAAGGCTGCTAGCTTGTTACGTCCATACCTGACACCACGGCCTGGGCAACATTACGCAGGTGCACTAGGATGTAGTAATTAGGACAGACACACCAGTTTACAGTAGGCAAGGGTCAGGAGCATTCAGGTCATGAAAAGTAAATGCAGATGGCCTGCTAAATTCATGAAGCATCACTGAACCCCAGTCAAAGAAACAAGTGATCCACTCTTCACCATCCGTGACTTGGCGAGGTTAGATAAGCATGGCAGTGACTACCGTTAGCAAGGGTGCCTGTTCCACTGGAACCAGCCCTCTCCCTTCTGCCATGTATCCTGAGGAAGTAATTCAAAACACAGTGTCAGAGCAGTGCTACTGGTAATCATGCATTTTCTCATGTTCTCTACCTTTTTTTGAGGAATTTATTAATTCATCCCAGTCTCAGGGTCACAAAATTGCATATAATAGTGAAATTTTAAAATCAACCTATACCCTTAAAAGTCAGTTTACTAATATAATATAATGCTGAGTACTTGTCATACTGGTACTCTGGGAGTGTTTTACTGATGCTTTTCTTAAGATAGAACTAGAGGTTGTGTTGTGGCTCAGCAGGTTAAGCTGCCTCTTAGGACGCCTGCATCCCATATCAGAGCGCCAGTTACAGTGCTGACTCCTACACTCTGTTCCAGCTTCCTGCTAATGCACTTGATGACCCACCTGCTTCAGTTTCTGCCACCTACATGGGAGACCCCAATGGAGTTGCTGGCTCCTGGCTTTGGTGTGGTCCAGCCCTGGCTGTTATGGACATTTCCGGTAGTGAACCAGAAAACGTAAGATAACTCTCTCCCTCTGCTTTCTCTCCGTCACTCCCTCTCTCTGCCACTCTGCCTTGCAAATAAAACTAAATAGATCTTTAAAAAATAAATCCAATAACAGAGAATGAAAAAGATTAAATGTAATATGCACAATCCGATCTCATTTTTGGTTTAAAACAAAGAAGGAGGCTTGTGCATGTACTAGTAGAAAAAACAACTGGTGAGTGATAGACCAGAGTTTGAACAGTGTGGATAGCTTGTGGTATTTTCATCCCATTGCTTCCAAGACAGGACAATCAGGAACTCTAACAGTTGTTCCATGACCTCCAAACTCCACATGCTGCCCAAACCAATGCTCCCAGCCACAGTTGCCAGGAGCCCCACCTCTCCAGGCTCTCTCCCCATGCATCTCAACCCTCAAACCAAGAACTCCGGGTTTGCCCAGCACTCCCAGCATGGCCAATGCACCAAGGTCACACCAGGCTTTCCTGGTTCTGTTCTTGCAACCCCCTCAGCCAGGAATGCCTTTCCCAAGAACCAGATCCACCATCAGCCAACCTTGTCTCTGCACATCCTTCCCCTGGGCACGGAAAGGACTCCTACTTCTTTGTGTCCATCTGTGTTCTCTACTCGTCTGTCCTGGAACCCATCGCACATCACGTTGTGATCAGGCTACCCAGCTGTCCCTTCTAAGGTTGCTGCGTATGCCCCGTTTATCTCAGCACACCCCTTCCTAGCACCCAGCCCTATGCCTAGCACCCAACCGCACTGCAATGATGTTATAGAACAGTCTAGTGTGAAAAAGAGCAGAAAGGTTTCTCTTCTGAAGACAATGCACCTACTTCACTATTTGAGATAAAAATCAGCATGGGATCACACTTGCATTCTCCATCTTTTCAACTCCTTATTCAATAAAAGAGCTAACCAAGGTGCCCATTTCTAAACAAAAATTCTATCTTTGTCAAACCTCAAGAAACGGATTTACCACTAACACATTGAAAGATTTACACAACATGAGGAAACATCACCTGCACTCTAGTACATCACTATTCTAGCAGGTGAAGGCTGCTCTCTGTCCTTAAAAGCTGAGAGCAGAGTTAGGGCGGGGTGGTTCAGAGCTGGTGATAGCGATGGACATGGTTCTGGCAGCAAGGTGTCAGAATAGCTCCGAGACTTGGCTGGAGAAAATCAACAATGTGTGTGTTAGGCCGTTTCATTTTCGTTTGGGAAGAAAAGATTTGGACAATCACTTTTGCTCGGTTTCAATGGGGCCATCTGAGAAAACAGCTCTAACTTCACCTACTCCTTACCACAGCCCAGTAGGTGGCTCCTGTTTAACTCCAGGCTGAAAAAAAAAACAAAATTGGACTTACCCCAGACATCCCCGGATAAGGTTTCCTGCCTGCTAATGTCCTCCCTAGGATTCTCACTCTTCTGCAATCCATAGTGGTGCACAATGCTGGCCAGGATCACAGAGCTGCCGCTGCACCCAGAGACCAGTAGGGGGCCAGACCTGCCCTAAGCCACTGCTGGGGCACCAAGACAGCTTTTCACAAAGGAAACCTTAATGCCAACCTCTCTCTAAACACGTCCAGAACCAAGAGAGAAAAAATCTGTTGCATTAATGGAGGCTGTGAACAGGTGCTGAGCAGAGAGAAGTTTCAACAAACCCACTCACATTTAGGGACATATTACCCACTCCCTGGGACTTCCAGGGCAGGTGGACAGTCCCCTGGTCTGGTCGGTGAATAAGGAAATCAAAGAAGCAAAGAGTCTTTCTGTGACAATGACCAAGGACCCTCTGTGGAACCTCAATAGCTACTTCTCCTTCAGGAAAACAAAGACCTTTCTCCCCCGAGGTTCTTGGGGCACTGGCTTTCATTCTCATCAAGCACCACAAGAGTATCACCAAGAACAGGAGTGAAAAGGACTTCAGGTGGCAATGACCAAGCTGAAGCACACACGACTCCAGGCGGCACGGTGGCTCCCACAGGCAAGGTGACAGGGTATTTAACCCACGGTTGTTCCCCACACTTGAACTCTTCAGTGTCCAAGCTCCCGAGAGAATGAAGTGCATCTGGAGGGTTGTTGCAATCTCGTGGAAGAAATGGCAATGGCTGTCCTCAGAAATCCCCAGAATCAAAAACCTTTCACCTCCCTGAGTTTTTCCTGAAGATAGATGGAACTTTATCAGAATACATTTTTGCTTTCAGTGAGATATTGTTAGATCCACTTTGTTGTTGATGGTTTCACAGATGGAGAATCTGCACTGCCATGAATAGCTGAGAACTTGTCTACTCCCATTGTTTTAATCTCTAAAGGAGTTGAAGGATTTTCACAGATACAAAATAATTCAATGTCCTATCATATATGAAAGTAGATGTTCCTACTGCAAAGATTTCACAAACAGAAAACTAAGCATCAGAACGTGCCAAAACTTCATATGCTCTGAAAGACATTTTGAAGATGACTTTGTTCTTTTTTTTTTTTTTTTTGGAAAATCACAAAAGAATCTAAGTGGCTTGCCAGAGTCACACAGAGGAGCAGAGACAAAGCTAGTGTTGTGTCTCACATGTTTGGAATTCCACTCCCAGGATTCTTGGCTGTATGATATTTTAGATGCCTACCTAAATCTACCTCCATCCAATGTCCAAAAAAAAAAAAGCCACCAAAAAATCAACCAAGAGCTGATTTGAGCATTTTTATGGCTGAGGTGTGGAATGCAAACCCGGAGTCTCAGCAGGCTCTGGCATCTGCCAGAGCTATTTCCTTGACTGACCAGTCATGACACACAAGCAGAAAGACGCAACTGACCCTGTGCAGTTCAAGGAAACCCAACAGTTAGCGACTGATCCAGATTAGGAAGACTCGGAGTTTTAAACAGAAGATTCCCCTGTTTTTAAATCCCCACTGCAATGAGCCATCCTCGGAACACACATAATTACCTTGACAAAGCGATCTCACCCTCCTGGAGCTGAGTTTACCTGTGACCCTTTCTCTCTCTTTCTCTCTCTCTCTCTCTCTTTCTCTCTCTCTCTCTCTCTCTCTCTCTCTCCCTCTCAGTGGCGGTTGAGGTTGGGAACCCAGTGACACTCTGCAAAGCCTGTGGCAGTCAGTCTAGACAGAAGGTTCTTTGCCTGTATTTAAACCACTCTCTCCTTGAACATCCAACTGATGTTTCGCCAAGTTTGTCCATGCCTGCGGGAGACACTTGGGAGAGTGGCTCACAGCCATTACTCTAAGTGGACCCTGAAGGAGCAATTAAATTAACTGCCTCTTTGCTGAGGACGTGGCTGTCCCTGGTGCTCACACAAAGGCCAGTTCAGAATCCTGATTCTAGCACATGGTAAAGAGCACAGGCTCAAGTCAGGGGCAGCAGGACCCACCCATGTCACAGCTCAGAATCTGGAACAGGGACCCACCCAGTGCCAAGTGTTCATAACAATGTGGGCACTCTGGGCACCGAAGGAGAAGGTCAGGCCAGCAGCTGACATCTCTGCTCTGCCCTCCACGGAAGACGAGAGGCACAAAGCCAACAGTCCCCCTCCTCTGCAGATTCCACCCAGCTAACAGAGCTGGCCGGCACTGTCTATCACTCACACCTTGGCTCCTGGTCTCCTTGCTACTTCCCTGTCCCATCTCCACCGTCTCCCGCCAGATCTTAGTCCCTTCTTCAGTCAAACCACCCCTGATTCCCAGAGGGCAAAGAGCCTTGTCTGTCACCTCCAGGGATTCCCCCACCAGGCCCCGGTGGCCATGCCACGGGCTGCAGGACCTTGAAAACCTGAAAGCTGATGGTTTTGTCACTGTGGGCTGCTCTCTCAACCACCCCAGGACACAATTATCACAATGAAAAGGCTTACCACACACACACAAACACACACACACACAATCTCAAAACGTCTGTGGAAAATTATGAGAACACCATACATGGATTTCCAAATTATTTTGTGCCAAAATAAACATATTTTAATTCTATTTTTCCACTATAGGATTATTCTGTATTAGCAGGCAGAGACTAGGCTACACATATACCACCCATCACCCTAGAGACGTGCCCAAATATAGCTAGCACCTTTTGCACGCAATTATTAAGCAACTGGTTAGTTTGATAGGAGAGTAAAGTAGGTTTGTTACCAAAAGGTACTTCAAGTATTTGCTAAGCAGCATGATATTCTTGGAATGAGAATTGTTATTTTTCATTAATGGCTTTGAAACCTGACTCTGTTACTTAAATAGCAATGTGGATTTGTATATGACTTATAATTGCATTTGTTTTTCAAAATATGCAATGAGAATAATAATACCTACCTTCAGGATTTCCTTTGGACTAAATAAAATGACATGCATGAATCCATTTTCCAAGCTGTCCGTTACCATTATGGATGGGTCACCATAATGGAACTATTGAAATAATTACAAAGAAGACTTCTGACTTGGCACTTTTAGGCCAAAGTAGGTTACCGATTCTTCAACAAAATCAAAGGTATACCAACTAGGAATTCTTTCTGTGACATTAATGTTATGTTACCATTCAGAAGTAAATGTATGTTAGACTAAAGCCTACACTATTATAACAAAATATGTTGGCTTAACTCCTTCCCTTTCACCCAACAGTTTAAAGGTTTGCATGAGGGTTAGGGTAGTTTCCAGACTTGGTGTGAAAGTTTTGCACTATGAACTCGTTAGGCAAACCCAGGTTCTTTTTACAAACAATAAAAGTCATTCAAGGGGTGGCAGTGTGGGAAAGAGACAAGAGAGCTGCCATCCACTGGTTCACTCGCCAAACGCCGGCAACAGCTGGAGCATGGCCATACCAGTGCCAGGGGCTGAGAACACAGCACAGGTCTTCAATGAGGATGGCAGGAACCCAATTAGATGAGCCATCACACTGCCTCCCCGGGTCCACATTAGCAGGAAGCAGGAACCCAAGCCAGGAAGCAAACCCAGGCACACCAATGTAAGATGCAAGCATCTAGACCATTAGGGTAAACAGCTTCTTCAAGTCAATGGCTCTTTGTTATTCCCCTTGACACAAGGAAGCTGCTGCCACCTCTACATTTCACCTCATGGGAAGGGAAGAAGCAGAAAGCTCAAAGAACATGATTTGTCTCAAGCAAGTGAGACAGATATTCCACACAGAGCTTATGCTCACAGTGTTGGCAGAATTTTACATCACATTGCATCACCTCACTAGAAAGAACCTGGGAAATGTCATCAAGGAAGGAAGACACAAGCACATGAAAAAGGGGGAATAAATTTGGGGGAGGGAGCAAAAAAATAATAATTGCCACAATATCCAAACAGAAATTAGAGGCAGGAGATTTAGACAAGGAGACTGGAGGTGAAAGTGAATTTTATATGCTACTCCCATGAATAGATACTCAAGAAAGAAATGAAAAATGAGTATTTAGTTATACAAAGAGGAGGAAATAAAGAGAAGACTGAAGAATTAGACTATTGAGTGGTCAACACTGAAAGCTAAAAGAGAAATTTAAGGTAATGACAAGTCTGGAAAGCATCTCAAAGTGGTGGGACTAAAAATTTATGTGAACCTAAACATTTGCCACTTGATGGATAAGAGAGCTGAGCAGCAGTGGGGAAAACTGACTGTCAGGTGGGTGAGTCTTGTTGGTCAAAGAAATGGTTGGGGCCGGCACTACGGCTCAGTAGGGTAATCCTCCACCTGCGGTGCAGGCACTCCAGGTTCTAGTCCTGTTCGGGGCGCCAGATTCTGTCCTGGTTGCTCCTCTTCCAGTCCAGCTCTCTGCTGTGGCCCGATAGTGCAATGGAGGATGGCCCAAGTCCTTGGGCCCTGCACCTGCATGAGAGACCAGGAAAAGTACCTGGCTCCTGGCTTCAGATCAGCGCAGTGCGCCGACAGCGCACTGGCTGCAGCAGCCACTGTGGGGGTGAACCAAGGGAAAAGGAAGACCTTTCTCTCTGTCTCTCTCTCTCTCACTTTCCACTCTGTCAAAAAAAGAAAGAAAGAAAGAAAGAAAGAAAGAGAGAGAGAGAGAGAGAGAGAGAGAGAAAGAAAGAAAGAAAGAAAGAAAGAAAGAAAGAAAGAAAGAAAGAAAGAAAGAAAGAAAGAAAGAAAAAAGAAATGGTTGGAAACTTGGGGAAAAACTATGGATCCGTAGACTATCTTCAGGAGTCCTGTCTGGGCAGTAAAACTGCCCATTTTTCCTATGCTATGTCCAAAGTTCAGCCAGGACCAGCTGGAATGACCTTTTGAATACGTTCTGGTTCATTTCTCATCACCCAGGCACATCCCTGAGCACAATTCCCATTCTTCAGACCTGCCCCCTTCTGTTTTCCCCCCTCACACTCAACTATTGGCCTTGCCGCCTACATTCCTGAGAAAAGAAATAGTCTCCTGTCAGAGCTCCTCAATTTTATTTCTCCCCTCTTCAATCTTTCTATTTCTTTATACTCAGTGTTTGTGAATCCAATCTTCTGCACAATTTTTATGAGAAATCAGTAAAAGAGCTAAGCAAAAGTCATTATTCCTTAAAGAAACTATTGGTCCTTGTCATCTTCTTCGGATGTCCATATTACCTTGGAATATTCACATAATTCCCATGGCAGACATAATTTGCACAACATGCGCAACAAACGTCATAAAATATTTCCTTATAATTAAAAAATGAGTCAAAACAACTCAGAAAGCAATGATGATAGAATTAGTAGACACAGACACTGAAATACATGTGTTCAAGAAGCTAGTAAAATATTGACAATATTAAGTAGAGACAAAGAAGATATAAAAATTTCTAGAGGTAAATCTAAATGTCTGAGATTAACAGTACACTGGGTGAGACATTGCAAGAAAAACACTAGTGAATGTGAGAAAACACCAATAAAATACCCAAAAGAAACAAAAATAGCAAAAAAAAAAAGAATAAGAACAGTGAATTAGTGAGCTGTAACACAACATCAGAAACCTAATATATGTGTAATTATATCTCCTACACATATGAGAAATAGGAAAAGAAAAATTCTTGAGTAAGTAACAGATAAAGTTTTTCCAAATTTAGTGAAGAATATAAACCTACAGACAATAAGTTCATGAACCCCAAACACAATAAACATGAAGAAGTTCACACCAAAACACATGCTTAAAACCAGTGATAAAGAGAAAAATCTTAAAAACCATGAGCATAAAAAATGCACACTAAACACAGAGAGACAAATCTAAGAATTACAGAGGATTTTCTATAGACTCAATGCATGCAAGAAGTGGAGAAATATCTTTAAATGCAAGACCAAAAAAGTGTAAAATTTTATACACAGTAAAATATCTCTTGAATATAAATATGAAAAGAAAATAAGAAATATAAAAGATAAAGTAACTCATCACCAGAAACATGTGCAGAAAGAACTATTAAAGAAATCTTTAGTAAGAAGGAAAATTTTACCTGATGAGAATCTGGATTTATTCAAGAATGAAGAAATGAATTAAAAAACCGAGGGTTTATCTGGGGATGAATGTAATATTTGGTTTCTTATTATTGAAATCATTTGAAAAGATGGTCAACTTCTTATTGAGAAATAACAGTTGTATCACAGGGTTTATATCAGCTCCAAAAGAAAAAGGAATGAAAACAATGACATAAGAGCAACCTAGAGACAAATGGAATTAGACTTTTGTAATGCCCACATAGTATATAAAAGGTAATATAATATCACTTGGTAGAGTCTGTGATAAGTTAAAAATGAATACAATAAGACCTAAATAGGCTCCTAAAAGAACTTAAGCAGAGTTATAACTATGATGCCAAAATAGGAAATAAAGTGGAATCATTAAGGATACTCTAATAATACAAATGAACAAAGAAAATGAGAATAACAAGAAAAGAGGATATATGAGACAAAACGAAAACAAATAGCAATATATTAAGTTTAAATGTAAGCAAAGAAATCCAGGGTCCTGTCAAGAATTGACGTCGCTGTGAAATACAGTTGGAAGTAGATTCATGGATCAAATGACGATGCACGGTATGAATGAGAAATTCAATAGCAATGTAGAAATCATGAACAAAAATTTTGGACATTTAAAATCCAATTAGTAAGATAAAAATACAGGCCCCTGCACCCGCATGGGAGACTCAGAAGCTCCTGGCTCCTGGCCTCGGATCAGCACAACTCCAGCCGTTGCGGCCAGTTGGGGAGTGAACCAGCAGATGGAAGACCTCTCTCTCTCTTTCTCCCTCTCTGCCGCTCCCCTTTCTGTGTAACTTTGACTTTCAGGTAAATAGATAAATCTTTAAAAGAAAAATGATAAAAATGCAATCAAGGGCTTCAACAACAAAATGGACCAATTTTTGATCTTGAGGACAAAACTTCGGAAATAACTCAGTCATATAAAACTAAAGAGAGAAGAATTCAAAAGAACAAAGAGGACCACCACCTGTGGCACCAGCATCTCACATGGGGATTGAATCCTGGCTGCTCCTCTTCCAATCCAGCTTTCTGCTATGGCCTGGGAAAGCAGTAGAAAATGGACCAAGTCCTTGGGCCCCTGCACCTGCATGGAAGGCCCAGAAGAAGCTCCTGGCTCCCGGCTTCAGCTCAGTCCAGCTCTGGCCACTGCAGCCATATGTGGAGTGAACTAGCGGATGGAAGACCTCTCTCTCTGTCTCTCCCTCTCTCTGTCTGTAATTCTACCTCTCAAATAAATAAATAAAATCTTTAAAAAAATTAAGCAAAAGCTACAGCAGTCAAGACAATGTGGCGTTGCATAGCTTGTCATATAGATCAATGGACTAGAACCAATTGTCCAGAAATAAGCCCTTATGTGGGGAGCAACTCGGACTAGACTGTTACTGGAATTAAGACTTATTCTATGCATCTGCTCTCCCACAATATGGCGCTGAGAAAGGTGGAAACAGCTTCTACACAGCTGCCTCCAGTTCAACCAATAAACAGCAGGACCTGCTCCTGATTGGAGGAGAGCAGTGTACTCGGCGTGTGGGTAGCAGAGTTGGGATTGGTGGAAGAGGACTATAAAGGAGGAGAGAGACAACATGCACCAGGAACATCTATCTGAAGGAACACCTGTGCAGCCCCCGAGAGAGCCGGCCGGCGGTGTGCCGCTCCCCCACGAAGTGGGGAAAGTGGCAGGGGGAACCGCCCTTCCACGGAGGTGGAAGGGACGGTAGCCAACCCGGGAAGAACCAGCAGCAAACCCGGGAAGGGCCGAGCAGACAAAAGAACAGCGCAGGGTCCTGTGTCGTTCCTCCATGAAGAGGGGGAGCGACACCCTTACATTTATGGTGAATTTTTAATAATATGCCAAGACAACTCAATGGGAAAAGAATAGTTATTACAATGAGTAACACTCAGACAACTGTATATCTACATTCAGTGGAATGGAGTTGGGTTCCTACATTATACCTTTTCTCCAGACTAAGCCAAACAGGGGTAGATGTAAATGAAGAGCCAACACTTAGAAGAAACGGTAGCAGTAAATCATGGTGATCTTAGTGCAGGCAATGGTTTCTTAGATACAGCATCAACATCACAAATGACAAAAAGAACACATAGGTAGGTAGGTAGGAAGGAAGGAGGGTTGGAACGAAGGAAGGAAGATGAGACTTAATTGACATTTTAAGAAACTGCTTCAGGGAGCCCACAGAAGCAATAAAACTATCTGTATTTTCAATTTTTAATTTTAGTTTTTCATTTGTACAATGTACTTTGTAGATATAATTCTAAGAACGTAATGATATTCCCTCTCCCCCCCACTTCTTCCTACTTGCCTTCCATCTCCCTTTTTTCTTTTTTTGTTAGTTTTTTCAGATAACATATTTTAAATTCACATTTCAGTAAAAAGGCTTAATACTTAACTGCATAACAAGTTTAAGAAGCAAAAAGCAAAAGTCCTGGTTAAGTGGGAATACAGACAATGGCTATAAGCAATAACTGAATGAAAAAATGACCATTTCACCTATATGCAGTAAATTTTAAAGTAACCAAATCATAAATCTGATTTTAAAATATTGTATCCAGGGTTGTAAAGAACACCTACAACTCAATGATAAAATAAGTAGCTCATTTTTAAATAGGCCAAATATTTGAATATATAGTCTCCAAAAATACAAAAATGGCAGATAAGCATGTACAATACCATCAGCTATTAGGGAAATGCAAATAAAAACCAGGGTGCAATTCTGTTTCACAGATAATACGGAGCATTGGCAAGAATCCAGCTCTCTGCTGATGCACCTGGGAAAGCAGTAGAAGATGGCCCAAGTCCTCGGGACCCTGCAACCTTGTGGGAGACCCGGAAGAAGAAGCTCCTGGCTCCTGGCTTCGGATCAGCGCAGCTCCGGCCATTGCAGCCAATGGGGAATGAACCATCAGATGGAAGACCCCTCTCTCTCTCTCTTTCTCTGCCTCTCTGTAACTCTGCCTTTCCAATATATCGTTTAAAAAATGAAATTACTTGGGAGACTTTTGGGATATTTAAGAAAACGGAAATTTAGGAAATTGCGCGTACAGTGTGCTCCGGCATCAAAACATGTAACAGCTGTAATGAAATTTTATTAACTGCCTTTTCTGTTATAAATGGTATTGTCAAATGTATCTGTATTTTCTACATTTTCAAAATGATAGTTTATTTTTCCAAAAAACAAAAAAAAACAAAAAAAAAAACCAAAAACTACCTCATTCCCCAGAAACAGTAAAATGCGTGTACCCTCAGGTCTCAAGGGCGGCGCCCCAGCCACCTGCAGCCGCCCGGGAGCGGAGGGAGCCGGCGCCCGCGCACCGCCCCGCGCCGCCGCCCGGCCGCGCCCCCGGGGACCCTGAACGCGCAGTCAGCCCCGCAGACCTGCAGAGGGGGGACAGGGACGCCCCTGCCGGGGGCCCCCGGGAACCCCGAGCCACGCGCAGCCCCCGAGGGGGTCCGCCCCTCCACCCTGTCTCTCCCCGCCTGCAGGGGCGCCCGCTTCCTCCACCCCACGGCCTCCCCTGTGCGCGGACTCCTGCAGGCCGGGTCTTGGGCTCCCGTGTGCCCGCTGCGGACCCCACCCTCCGTGTCCCCCCGGGGGCGGCCTCCTCCGAGGTCTCCGGACTTAACGCCGCGCGGGTGGACCAGTCCCAGCGCCCGGCCCGGGACGGCTGGGATGAATGAGGGGCAGTAGATGCCAAGCAAAGCAGGTGGGAGGCGGGCAGGGACCCCCTGGGGAGGCGAAGTGCGGGCGGGGCCAAGCTTAGCAGGGGGCGTGGCCGGTGCCGCGTGGAGCGGGGCGGGGCCCGAGCGGGGCGGGGCCGCCAGCTGGCCTCGCGGCTGTGGCAGGTGCAGCCCCGGGTGTGCCAGGAGAGGCTGTGCGGCCATGCCCTCCTACACGGTCACCGTGGCCACCGGCAGCCAGTGGTTCGCCGGCACCGACGACTACATCTACCTCAGCCTGGTGGGCTCGGCAGGCTGCAGCGAGAAGCACCTGTTGGACAAGGCTTTCTACTAGGACTTTGAGCGCTGCGCGGTGAGGACCCCGGCCGGGCCGGGGTCACGGCTTGATTGGGGCGACGGGGTCCCGGCTGGGCGCACCTGAGAGCCAGGCGCACTCAGAGAGCGGTGCTGGGGTAGCGGGCGCAGCCTGAAGGGACCCCCGGGTGCCGCGCAGGTGAGGGAAGGACGGTCTGTAGGGCGCTTGCGTCTCCCTGGGGGGAGGAGGAGGAGGAGGCGAGGGGGGGGGGTCCTATCCGTCCTGTTCCCGAGCCCCGCGCTGGGTGGGGCTGCTCAGAAGCCCTGAGGGTCCCCGCCCTGCCACGGGGAGAGAGCGCAGTTCAAAGGAGCCGGGTGCCCTCTCTGTCCCCCTCTCCAGGCCTCGGTTTCCATAGCTGTGAAATGGAAGGCTGGCTTGAGTCTGGCCCCGGTCGGTGGCTCAGAGTGGCGCTGGCCGGTGTCTCCACACCTGGCCCGTTTTTAGTGTCCGGACAAGCCCCAGACGGAAGGAATAAGAGAAGCCAGGCCAGGAGTAGCCATCCCGTCCCCCAGTAGAATATACTCCAGGAAGGCCAGCCTGCCGAGACTGAAGGCTCCGTGGCGGAGGAAGAGGGAAAGCAGCTTCCTTACACCCCTCTTGGCTGGGGACCCTGGAGCCGGGGAAATTCAGGGAAGGCGGGCAGCTAGCATTTGCCCCTCGGCTCGCTCTGTGGGGCCAGCCGCTTCCCATGCCCAGGAGGCCGAGGCTCAGAAACCAGTTCGCGGTGCCTGGCCCAGTGCACAGCAGGTTCTCAGTGAATGACCGCGGGTAGTGGTCCCGGATGCACTGCCCTCTGTGACCTCCAGCCGACAATCTTAGACTTTCCCCAGCTCTCCTTCTCACCGTGTAGGTAGGTCAGATCACACAGAATTCCGCGTAACTTGCTGGGTTTGACAGACACACCTGGCGATTCCGCGTTTCTGTTGGCTCTAAGCCGTGGAGGTGTGTCTTAGGTCTGCAGACCCCAAAGGGGGCGAGTCATAGTCTCCTTTTTTGGGTTCTGAACTCCACGTGGGCTTCCTTCCTGCCCACCCCGAGCCTCAGAACTCCGAGGTAACTTGACATAGCACCTAGCCAGGTTCAGCATGCTGCTAGCCTGGTTTGGGCTTCCTTCCACAAGAGTTAGGGGTTGAGGATGAAAATCACCTAGAGCTTGGGACCCTCCCATCAGGGCACTGGCCCTGAGGACACTGGCGCAGTGGAAGTAATTGCTCATGCATCACCCAGGCGCTGATTTCCATGGATTCCCCAGAACCTAGGGGAGGGGGCCAGGACACAGATGACTTAGTGAACCCGCTGCTGCGCGCACGTCTCCACGAGCCAGCAGGGTGCGCTGCGGCGCACGGGTGCGCAGCCTGTGGGCTGCCTGCCCAGGAGGGAGACACAGAGATCCGGTGGTAAAGAGGGCATGGGTCGATGCTGAAAGCACGTCTTGTTCTTAGTCCCTCTCTCTGTCTCCCTCCCATGCAAATAACATCGCGAGTGAATACCTTGGTGAGAAACCCAGAAGCAAATTTTGGGAGAGCTTTGCATGTCACATGTGGGGGAGGGAGAGAGAGCAGGAGAGAGATCCAGCCAGCAGCAAAGCAAAAGGGGACTGCGCACTGCAGAGGAACCAGCTGGGGACAAAAGGCCCCTCACCCACCCCCCATGGAAGACCCCATCACAGATGATATTGAGCCCCTCAGAGTCCAGTGATCTAAACCCAGGAGAGACTCTGCCAGGGACCTTCTGCCAGGTGCCTGCAGGTGTGGGTGGAACAGGAGCTGGGGGGACTCCATTCTGTGTGCCAAGGGATCACCCTCCCTCCCCTCCCTCAGAGAGGTTTCGAGTCTCCTGTTCATGGGTCCCTGCCCACAGCCCGACCGCTGCCTCCCTCTGAGCCCTGCTGCCTTTTGTCCCAAGAAGCTGGACTCCTCTCTCCCTGCAGAGTGTCCCCCTGAGCCCCCACCCCGGGTAGCTGTTATTTGGAATGCATGGATGACACCTCTATGACAGGTCACGATGCTTGGTGGTTCACACCCAGTGCCAGCTTCTTGCTAATGCCCACCCTGGGCCCCTGCCACCCATGTGGGAGACCCAGGCGGAGTTCCTGTCTCCTGGATTTGGCCTGGCCCAGTCCTGGCTGTCGTTGGCCATTTCGGGAGAGAACCAGCAGATGGGAGCTCCCTGCCACTCCCCACTTCTCTCTCCCCCATCCCCCCTTCTCTCTGTCTCTCTTCTGGCCCCCGCCCATTCTCTCCACCTTTCAAATTAAATAAATCAATAATTTAGACTGGGACCCACTCCCCCTTACCAAGACTCCTTGGCACCAGTCTCTGAGGCCACTTCCCGCCCCCTCCAGCTACAGAAAAGCCACTTCCCCCGAAGCAGCCACCCCAGGTCCAGGCAGGCCTCCCAGCAGCCACTCCTGGGACCAGACCACATCCCAACTTCCCCCTGATCCACTTGCCCCACCAGCACCTAAATGTTTCCTGTCTGCTTCCGTCCTCACAGCCACTTCTCCAGGCTCACGGGGATTCTCCCAGGGTTCTGCGCCCCGGGGTTCGGAATTCAGAAGCTCTGTTTCTTCCTCCCATGTGCCATCCTGGCTAGTATTTTGGGCATGTGTGCCTGGGCGATCATAGCACTTAGGGTCCATGCTGGCTTGTGGCTGCTCATTTAGACTTCTAGGGGCACGCTGCAGGGGGGAGGGCTCTTGCTGAGAGCTGGCCAGGCAGGAGCTGCCCCCGCTCTCTGCATGAGTGAGTGGCGTGCTGGTGGAACAGAAGGGTGTGCCAGCATGGCAGGAGGCAGAGAGAGGAGGCTTCTGTTTTCCTGACCCTTAAGGCATTTGGGTCTGCCTAAAGAGCCCATGAGAGTATTTCAGGCATGGAAAGCCAAGACACTGGAAAAAAAAAATGACCTAAATGAAAGATCTCTGTGAGATCCCAGCGGAAAGAACGGGCCATCAAAGAAGGAGGTACCTTTCTCTGAAGGGAGGAGAGAACTTCCATTATGGCCTAGTCTAAATAAGATCAGAGTTGGCGAACTCAAGAGGCTTCCATAGCCTTGGCAGCTCATGGCAAGAGCCTCAGTTGATTACTGATGTCAAAAATAAGAGTGTCAATTGTTAAATAAACAATGGGGTTCACTGTGCACTTACTCCCCATGTAGGATCTCTCTCCTTAATGTGTTGTACTATGTGAATTAATGGTATAGCTAGTACTCAAATGGTACTTTATACTTTGTGCTTCTGTGTGGGTGCAAACTGTTGAAATCTTTATTTAAATTGAAAATGAATCTTCATATGAATGGGATGGGAGAGGGAGTGGGAGATGGGATGGTTGCAGGTGGGAGGGAGGTTATGGGGGGGGAAAGCTGCTGTAATCCAAAAGTTGTACTTTGGAAATTTATATTTATTAAATAAAAATAAGTCAAAATGCAAAAATAAAGAAAGAGGGGGGGGAGGGAGGGAGGGAAGGAAGGAAGGAAGGAAGGGAAGGGAAGGGAGGGAGGGAGGGAGGGAGGGAGGGAGGGAGGGAGGGAGGGGCTCACTTAAAACCAAACATAAAATGAAGTCCACTGCCCAGGTCATTTGGTCATCTATGATTAATGAAATAAAGTTCTCTGTGCTTCAGCCATGAAACTGCAAGATACCTCTTTAATAAGTAAAAACTATTCTCATTTACTAAATAAACAAGTGCAATTGCCCTGGACATTGTGTGTTTGATGAATTGAAGTTCTCCTTTCTTCTCCTGTGATGCTGAAAAAGGTCAGGATGAGCTGATGAAGGAGTTAAAAACCTGATGATGTGGGTTAGAAGGAACAGGACTGCAGTCCAGGAGTTCATCCTGGAGGGCTTCCCTGCTGTCCAGCACCTGGGGAAAATCTTATTCCTGGTGCACCTGCTGGCATACCTGGCCTCCATCATGGGAAACACGCTCATCATCACCATCACCTGGGCTGACCATCACCTCCACACACCCATGTACTTCTTCCTCAGCACTTTCTCCTTTGTGGAATGCTGCTTCATAACCACGGTGATTCCTAAACTGCTGGCCATCTTCCTGTCAGGGAGGCAAGTGATTTCCTTTGCTGCCTGCTTCACACAAGCTTTTGTCTTTATTTTCCTGGGGTCGACAGCTTTCTTCCTTATGGTAGTGTTGTCTCTGGGTCGGTACCTGGCCATTTGCAGACTTCTGCATTGCTTCAGCATCATGAGCCCCAGGGTGAGCTCCCTCCTGGTCACTGCCTGCTTCACTTTGGGATTCCTCTTCATGGTGGTCCCAGTTGTCCATCTTTCCCAGTTGTCCTTCTGTGGCCCCAATGTCATCCCCCACTTCTTCTGTGATTTTGGGCCCTTGGCTAAGCTCTCCTGTTCTGACAGTAGATCTACTGGAATGTTGTTCTTCTACCTTGTGTTTCTGGGTCTTTTTACATGCCTCCTTGTAACCATCATAGCATACAGCAACATCATAGTCACCATTGTGCGAGTCCCATTAGACAGAAAGCTTTCTCCACCTGCTCGTCTCACCTCATCGTCCTCTCTCTCATGTACGGCAGCTGTCTTTTCATCTATGTGAAGCCAAAGCAGACGAGCAGGGTGGACTTCAACAGACAGGCTGCTCTGGTGAACACGGTGCTGACCCCAGTGCTGAACCCTGTCATCTACACCCTGCGCAACCAGCAGGTGCACCAGGCTCTCAGGGGTGCCCTGTGCAGGGGGAAGTAGAACCACAGCTTCTCAGTGGAGGGTGCAGCTTCTCCTAGATTGAATCGAATCTTCCAATATGCAGAATCTTCTCCATACTTGTAATTTATAAATGGCTACTTTGTTCACATATGATTATCTTAGAATAGGAGCTAACAGATCTTATACTCCATTGGGAAAGCTCTAATAGGCTGCCTATTATATGGAGATAAATGTATTATCTGGTATCTTTCTTTTATTGGTTTTAAATCAATGAGATTCAAACATTTTTAATGATGAACCTCATTAGTGAATCTATTTGATACACGTGGAATCTCAAAGCTAGGAGGCTGGTTTCAAGAATCTATTTTTACATAATTTTAATGATAGAGGAAAAAGTAATTATTAAGACTATTGTGAAAAAAGTCATGTGGTGTAGCGCTGTGGTGTAGTAGGCTAAGCCTCTGCCTGCAGTGCTGGTAGCCCAATGGGTACTGGTTCACATCCTGGCTGCTCCTTTTCTGATCCAGTACTCTCTGCTAATGGCCTGGGAAAGCAACGGAAAATAGCCCAAGAGCTTGGGCCCCTGCACCCATGTGGAAGATCCTGAAGTAGCTCCTGGCACCCAGTTCCAACCTTTGCATCCATTCTGGAGTGAACCAATGGATGGAAGACTTTTTCTCTTTCTCACCAAAGAGCTGAAAGATGTCTATGATGAAAATTACAGAATATTAAAGAAAGAAATAGAAGAGGACACAAAAATGAAAAAATGTTCATGAATTGGAAGAATTAATTTCATCAAAACATCCATGCTACCAAAAGCAGCTTACAGATTTAATGCAATCCCAATGAAATATCAATGGTGTTCTTCTCAGATCCAGAAACACTGGTGCAAAAATTCATATGGAAACATAAGAGATCATGAATAGCTAAAGCGATCTGAACAACAACAAAACAGTCAGAAGCATCACAACACCAGATTTCAAGACATACTACAGGGCAGTTATAATCAAAACAGCTTGGTATTGGCAAAAAGCAGACATGTAGACCAATGGAACAGAGCGGAATTCCCAGAAGTCAATCTACACACCTAAAACAAACTGTGAGTTTCACCTCAACCCAGTTAGAATGTGTGTCACTGAAAAATCAATAAAATAGTAAATGCTGGTAAGGATCTGGGGAAACGTTACCCTAATATACTGTTGGTGACAATGTAAGCTAGTACAACCATATGCAGTACAGTATGGTAATTCCTCAGAAATTTGAAAATAGATCTGCCATGTGACCCAGCCATTAGACTCCTGGGAATTTACCCAAATGAAGTGACATCAGCATATGAAAGAGTTATCTGTATGCTCATGTTTATAGCAGCTCAATTCACAATAGCCAAAATATGGAATCAATCCAGATGTCTATCAAATGTTGACTGGATAAAGAAAATGTGGTATACGTGCACTATGGAATACTACTTAGCTGTAAAAAAGAACGAAATCCTGTCTTTTGCAACAAAATGGATACAGCAGGAAAGCTTTAAGCTGAGTGAAATAAGCTGTGCCTAGAAGACAAATATCACATGCTTTCTCTGACCTATGGTAGTTAATCCAGAATATAAAAAATAAATGGGAATGAAATGGACGCTTTTGGTTTGATAGTTGTTTTAGCTCTTGCTTATACTCTAATGAGATTGTGGTCTTCCTACTTTTTACCTTTTGAATATTATGGTTAGTGGTGCATTAAGCCTGTGATTATGGAGTGGACTGCAGTTATGTATTTGAAAGGAATGAAGAAAAAAAAAGGAAAGAAGAGAGGGGTTAAGGGAGGAAGGAGATAGAGAAAGATGGTCATTTATTTAGAATTGTAACAATAAAAATAAAATCTGTTCTCTTTATATTAATAAAGTTTTAAAAATAAAAAACTAATTTGTTGGAAATGTATATTCATATTTTATTTAAAAATTGCAAAATAAAACAGAGTTATCTTGTATACCTTTTGTCCAGTTTATTCAAAGAGTAACATCTTGCCACACTATGGTACAATATCTGAAGAAGTATTTTCACATTGATACAATTGAGAAATTCCCACCATCAAAAGGATTCTTTATTTTAAACACTGAAAGCCATATCTACATTCTAGTTCCATATTTTTGTGCAATAACTTTCATTTTTTTAAAAAGAACAAGTATATGTATTTATCTCAAAAGCACAAGAGAGACAGGAACATAGGAAGTCTTCCTTGTGCTGGTTCATCCCCCAAATGGATCCAAAGGGCTGGGCCAGGCTGAAACCAGAAACCTGGACCTCCATCTGGTTCTTCCATGTGGGTTCAGGGGATCAACCATTTGGGCCATCTTCTGCTGCTTTCCCAGGTGCATGTTTTGGGAAGTGGTGCATCTGTGTTTTGAATCAGTGCTTTAAGATATTGGAATCAAGGTGGAGCAGTAGAATGCTGGCCATTCCATACAATAATTTTTAAGTTGCCTATACTTTTGCGCTCAATGTGAGTGTCCATTGGCACTGCATAGTTGTTCTATATTTCGTAATCCACTTTCTCCATCTGTTTCTAACTGGTGTACCTAGCCCAGTCACATTCAATGTACTCATGTAATTTTGATGCCTCATGCCTGCCTTCCATTTTATTTCTTGCTCCTTATCCTCTCTCTTCTTTTCATTTTCTTATTTTCTTTCTCCTGGCTTCTTGTCTGTTGTGAACATTTTGCTTTCACAGTTCTGTTTTCACTCGTCTACAGTACTTTTCAGCATGCGTTTTGTGCACAGTACTTTTCTTTGTTTAGTATGGTATTTTAACTGATTCCTCTAGATGCCATGTCCTTTCTGTTCAGAGAACTTCCTTGGACCATTCCTTTAGGATGTCACCTGTTTGTGACAAATGCTTTGATTTCCTTCATCCGAGAATGTCTTTATTTTCTCATCACTCCTATGGTATCTAAAATTATATACACTAAGAGTTCTCTTCAACACTCTTGCATTTTGTGTCACTTCTTTCAGGTCCCTGTCATTTTTTTTCCTCATGGGTAGCATGTTTCTTCCTCTTTTCTGCTCTCACGTGTTTCTTTTGTTTTAGACTACCAATGGCCACCATCTGGAGTTTTCAAGGGAGAGGGAGAGGGAGAGGGAGAGGGAGAGGGAGAGGGAGAGGGAGAGGGAGAGGGAGAGGGGAGACTCCCCCTGTTTGGGAGTCACCCATATTCGTGAATCGCCTGGGAGTTCTTTCTTCCAGACGTGGAACAATTCTGCCCTGCTTCTTCTCTTTCCTTGACTCTGAAGATGGGAAAGATCTTTTCCACAGTCCCATGGATCCATGAGGTTCTGTTTCATCATAGTGTCTTTCGACTGAGGCGATTTGAATTAATTTTGTCCTACATTCCAGTTCACTAAGGTGTTCCCTCTGTGTCCTCCTTATGCCGGTGAGCTCCATCATTATTGCCTTTTCCACTTCCAAAAAAATTGATTCTTATTCATGTCTTCTATTTATTGGATGAAATGTTTTATATTTTTGCTGAAATTTTCTAATAAAATTTTAAGAGCATTATTATTACTCACTAAGCATTTTTATGCTGGCTGCCTTAAAATTTTTGTTGTAATGGGGCTGGTGTTGTGGTGTAGTGGGTTAATCCTCTGTTTGCAATGCTGCAATCCTACATGGTTGGCAGTTCAAGTCCTGGCTGCTCCACTTCTGATTCAGCTCTCTACTAATGTACCTGAGAAAGCAGAGAATATGGCTCAAGTGCTTGGGCCCTTGAAATCATGTGGGGTTCTGGAAGAAGCTCCTGATTTCAGCTGGTCCCAGTCCTGAGCATTGCAGCAATTTGAGGAATGAACCAGTAGATGGGAGATCTCTCTCTCTCTCTCTTTTTCCGTGTGTGTGTGTGTGTGTGTGTGTGTGTGTGGTGTATGTCTCCCTCTCCCTCTGTTACTCTGCCCTTCAAACAAATAAAATAAATCTACAAAAATAAACTTTGTTGTATCATGCTAATATCGGTCTCATTTTCATGTTGGTATATATTGATAGTCTTCAATCCAAAATCATCTTGGTTTTAGTTCTTGATATAGCAAGTAATTTCCAGGGGAAATGTGGACATTTTGAGTACTATGTTATGAGATCTGGCTGTTATTCAAACCTTGGGTTTTATCTGCCTTTGACACTGCTGAGGCAGAGTTAGGGGAGTTCCAACTCATGGTTGCCTGTGGGTCCAAATTTCTTACTTGACCTATCAATGCTCCCCCTTAATAAAAATGCATTTTGGAAAATTATAAGAGCTGGGAATTATAGGTATTATGCTTCTAATGATTTTTGTGAGGGGAACTTCATATTATTATACTTATTATTATACATATTATTATACATATATAATATTATTATACAAACATAATGAAAGATCAATTGTGATACTTGTGTAATAATTGACTATTTCTATCAGTGTCCAATTAGCAGCCACCAGTGACCCTAGAGGAATGGATATTGGTCTCTAGATGGCTTTGTTCCATCTTTTATTTTAATGATGTCGTTTGCCCACTGGTCTGGGTGACTACAGACTAGTGTCACGAGACAGACCAATGCCAAATATATGATGGGAAACTTAGACACAGTTTCATTTCTTCTTTCAATCTTATAAGCAACCTCCTGAGTGTGTGGAAGTGAAGCAGTGGGAAACCCAGTGCCCTGGGATGCATTTTAGAGACCCACAATCTATGTGGAAGGCTCCTTGTCTCCTTGCTGCCCTGGAGTGTGGTTCTCAGAAAATAGGGTCTTTTTCTGGGGCTGACTGGGTGAGGAGTAGGAGCAGGCAGGGATCTGGGAGAGCTGTGGCCTCTAGTAGGCAATGAGAGCTTTAGGAGGGCCAGTGGACTCACACCCAACTACAGAACACTTGGGAAAGATAGGATCTGCTTTCTTACCCAAAGGCAAATTTGCCACTAAGTTGTCCTTTTGATTTGCCTGGGTTTGAAAGCTCTGGGTTCCTTGGAAATGGATGATTAGAAGATAAGATGCACATGTTGACCATTTCTCAGGACAGATAAAGG